TATTAGGAAGAACTACTTCACTGTAAGGGTGGCCAGAGCCTGGAATAGGCTTCTCAGAGAGGTGGTGCTCTCACCTTCCCTGGAAATCTTCAAGAGGAGACTGGATAAGCACCTGGCTGGGGTCTTATGAGCCCTGCCACCCCCAGTGCTCCTTTCTGACCATGGCAGGGGGTCGGACTAGAAGGTCTGTCTAGGTCCCTTCCGACTCATTGATTCTATGATTCTATGAACATCCTCTAGTCCTCCATTTGTAGCTGGCAACCAAGATGGAAATAATCATGGAGCCAGAAGGGGAGTTTACAAAAGACAGCTAGGTCCAATGCCCGATGAAGAGGGCACTACCTTGGAAAGAAGGAACCACTGGGTTGTGACTTCTGCTCCCAAAGCTATTTGGGCATTTCATTCAATGATTGTGATGTAACTAGGGTGGAGTGACTGGGATAGCTTTCCTGGTTGTAAACTTGGGAGTGGAGGGAAGGGCAGAAAGAATATCAAACCCTAATGCATCTGCACAGTCACACAGGAGGCACATCACCACCTGGCAGTCACCACTGCCCCCATTTTTCCCACTGCCCTAGATTCCCACCTGCTTTATTATACATGTTAAATAATGTTAAATGAGTTTTCAGTACAAAACATTTTGTCTTTAGTTAAAGTTTTGGGGACTTTGGGGATTTCCTCATTTCCAAAGCCACTCACAATACAACCCTTGCCTCTTGTATGTTTCCTGATTTAACTCTTTTTTGTTTCCTAGCTTTCCTTGTATGTTTTAATCCACAGCCCTCCCAACTCTTTCTTAAAAGGGTTCTGTTTCTGGATGTGTGAAATTGCCCATAAATATGGAGCTATTAATTAACTACCATTCCTTTATTTGTGTTATAGTGAAATATCACTATATGGCATTGGTTTCAGCAAGAAGCTGAAACCTAAGGGCTTAGCTTCCTTCCCAACTATGGGTATATCACGGACAAAATAAACCATATCCATTCATTGTGTCTGAGGCACAATAGGGATTGATGATTAGGCCAAGCAGAAGACATGGGGATGTCTGTGGATGGATGTGCCTACACATATCCACAAATATTGAGGAAGTCTCATGGAAGCTTATCCTGACAAAAGAAACATGGGGCCAAAACTCCAGTCTTTTTACATTTGGTTTGTATTTAAGGGTCATAAATCATCCACAGGGATCAGGATGGCACATATGTATAAGAATAAAGAATGTGACCAAATATATTTTACCCCTTAAGCCAATGAGAGTTTGTTTGTTTTTTCAGGCGTGCCACCAATTAGCCCCACACCTTGCCTCAGTGCTCTCTGATTCCTTTTCTTTACCCAATCTGGTACTCTGCTTTCTGCTTCCTGCCCTATCTGTGCTTCCTGCCCTATCTCTGCTGTCTACTGTGTGTCATATACAGAGGCTGCCTGTGCCACTGGTAGCATCTGTGCCACAAGTTGGCCATCCCTTCTTTAAGAATTTAGGAACCATATCTTTTGAAACTATCAGTATGCTAGAATAATTGACACAAGGGTTGTGTCCACATATGCAGGCACATATGCTTGCAGCAGCTGAAATAGCAGCAGCACAAATTTGTGCTGGAGATTTGTACCACAGCACATGTACCTGACCGTACACTTTGGTGTGGGATAAGTTGCACCCCTTGGGGAAAACTGACTGTGTCCAGCTCCTCCGGGACCTGCAGCCAGAGGGAGATGAAAGATGGTGTTGGCCCCAGCTCCCTTGGTGAGCAGCTCAGGGCTACTTGGTCTCAGGAGCTTCTGAGGCTCAGCAAGTTGACATATGGTGACACTATTCCTCTGTGTCAGTTGGACTGCTGCAGCAGCCCTGACCTAGAGTAAAACCTGCACCCCCTACCTACAACAACAGTCTGGCAGTGGGGATTGCTGCCTGGCTGTGACCTGCTACCACCTGTGACAGAATCTGCCCCCTGGGACCTGAAGCCCCATGTCTGCATGCCTGCCAGACCTGGATGGGGCCCTCACAGCTGCCTGGGCTGTGGCATGGGTATTGCAGCAGAGCCATCTGCACTTTTAGGCCAGCTACCAGTGGTCTGTGGCTGCACAGTTGGCCTTCATAAGGCACTGCTGCCATGTGTGCCCCCACCCTGCCATCTGGGCAGCTATTGCCTGAAAGATGTGTTCATTGTGGTGGCCCACTTTGAACTGTCAAAGCATATCCTCCTGGACCCAAATGGCCAGGAGGTCAGCCACTTCATTTGCCCTCCAGCTGGATCCTTAGTGCCATCCCTGGGCAGGCTTCTCTGCTTGGGTCCTAGCACTTGTTCTGCCTAGGACATGCCACTTGCCTCACCAGCAGGGATCCTGGTGTTCCCTGTTTAAAAGTTGCAAATTCTCTGATAAAAAATCCCAAATTCTCTCTTTAAAGTACCCCAAAATGTGTGTTCTTCTACAATTAAAATGAAACACCACTATCTGTCTATCTATCTATCTATCTATCTAGACAGAGAGACAGACAGATGGATAGACAGACGGGGAGAAAGAGACAGACAGAGAGAAAGAGAGAGAGACAGACAGACAGACAGACAGGAAAACCAGCTGGATAATGTTTTCTTGATATTTTTAAAATTTTAAAGCAATTTGAAAGCCTACTAGTGCCTTTATCATCATAATAAAATAAATTCTAAATATCTATAAGCATTTGCTTTTCTTTATCACAGAAAAATCAGAGCTCCCCTTGACCAGGATGTGGGGACAACTGCCCCTTCAACCATAGCAGGTTCCATCTTCTCTGGCAGCTGGGCACACAGGGTGGGAAGCAGTGTGGCAGGGTGGGTGAGGTTTCTTGGGTGTATGTGGGTGGTTGTGGAGGGATCATGGGTGGGTGTGTGGGGATATAGAAGAAAAGGTGTGTGTGGGTGGGTGTGGAGGGGTGGGGTTTGTAGATGGGTGTATTTATGGGGGGAGGGGTTCTGGGTATGTGGTTTCTAGTCAGGTAGGCCCATTCGCCATGTACAGATCCTTGGTCAGGCAGTGGTGCACCCTGCAAAGCTGTGCCTACAGCCAGGCACAGCTGGGCTGAATGCTTCTGCCAGCACCCAGGCCTGGGCACTGCAGGGGTGTAGATGTAGATTTATCCAGGCCTCTAACTTGACTTCAGAGTGAAAAAAAAATGCTCTTGCTTTGTATTTTAAAATGTTTTAAGATAAGAAAAACCCTCCTGCTTATTATGTCTCCATGCACAGGTCCTTGGGAACGAATGATTCTTTCCTTCCTAAAATCAACAAGGTGATAACAGTTCTCAAAACAAAATGTATTGCTGAGCAAGCAGCTGTTATGTGTGACAACTGAATGATCTATCTCTCTCTTCCTGTCTCTCAAGGTTGCTTTGTTTAAATCATGTGTTTATTTTTACAGGTTTAGGTATAAAAAGGTAT